CAGCTCACTTTTATCGGCGCTTTCCAGTACGCGTCGTTCGCCACGTCAGGTTTTTTTGCCCGTGTGGGCCCTGCGCCGCGAGCTTAGCGGGGGCTCGACCGACGGGCACAAACACCGTCCCATAATAGGCCACACGCGCGCATGTGGAAAGATAAGAAAAGCTTCCTTTGTGTTTGACTCAACTGAACGAGAAGTGGGAAAGATTTATAGCCTGTGCACAGGACAACACGATTGCTGATCCACTCAACATAGCATCCTAAATATTCTCCTTGGAGTAGATTTTATGCTTACCGAAAATTACATGTAGGGGTGGAAACGCAGATGTGGAATCCTCCGTGCGTGTGGGGTTGCGTGGTAGTGCGGCATGGAAGAGATCAAAAACCACTCGTTACACCGACACAACGGTTCAACCCCATATTTGTACATCAATACACGGAGGACACTCTAGAGTTCCATGGGATCGGATCCTCCACCACCATGCGTATCCCCTCTACATGTTAAAAAATACACATCCACAAAGAAAAATATACTAGAGACGAAATTAAAGTTATAGAGTAAATAAGCCAAAAAAGAAACGTTTACTTTGGTTCCTGTTTTCAATACCCAGCCAGTGGCGTGGCTATCCTTCCTTTATCGATAGCTCATGGGCGCACAAAAGACGTGATAGAGAACATCACACTTCACCCCAAGTGTGCGACACCATTGGACGGGTAATTAAAACGGACAAATGTGTGTACAATGTTGAAGTAAAATTAATAAATTATCACGAGTCGATTTCTTGACAAGTTAGATTTGCAAACAAATCGTTTGAACGAAAATTAATGCGTGAATAATTATGTAAACTATTCCTTGAAAAAAATGTTCAGGAGAGCAAGAGTGCAGTACACATGAGGGAGTACTTGTTGCACCTCGTTTATCCAACCTCAGCATCCTGCTTCGTCAAAGGGAGTGCCGGATGGATTTCTTGCTTCACCTGTGGACCCTAGGGTATTAATTCCCTTCCAAAAGTTTCGCGCTCTCGCTTACATGCATGAATACCTGCTCAATAGTTTTGGGCGATACGGTGTAGTCCGTGATGTTTAGCCGAGCCGTATGCTCCTCCAGATGCCTGAAGACCAAGGACAACTTTGTGTGGGCGGGCAGATCATACGTGTAGTAGTTTTCGTGCGTCTCGCTTAGATTGCACTCAGGAAACATTTTATCGAAGAATTCAAGTATGGCCATCCGCAAGTCATCGCTGTTCTTTTCGACCCGCAACTTCACCTGGAACCCGGAGCCGTACTTGTTCTTGAGGTAGGTCTTGGTGCCGATGCAGTGCAGGGCGCCCCCTGCCATGATCGCCACGCGGTGCGCCAGCGCCTCCACCTCTTCCATGTGATGCGTCGTCAGCAGCACGGCGGAGTTGCTCGCCGCCGCTCTCACCGCCAGCCAAAGTCCATGCCTCGCGATGGGGTCCATCCCCGCCGACGGCTCGTCGAGAAGTACAACGCGCGGGCCGCCGATAAGCGAGAGCGCCACGGACAGCTTCCGCCGGTTGCCACCCGACAATTTCTCTGCCCTGACATTCCTGTACTCTGTGAGCTGGCAGAGGACAAGCAGGTCCTTTACCGCCTTGCGTCGCATCGCGTAATCGATGCCACGCACACCAGCGTATAGCCACAGGTGCTCTTCCGCCGTCAGCAGGTCGAACATGGGGTCAAATTGTGGGCAGTAGCCTATGCATCGGAGGGCTTCCAGACTTTCGATCACGGTGTCGTGCCCGCAGATCTCGACCTCCCCCTTTGTTGGGTAAAGTTCCTGGCAGAGCATCGAGATGGTGGTGGTTTTACCGGCGCCGTTCGCGCCCAAAAGAGCGAACACCTCCTCGCGCTTTACACCAAAGGTCAAGTCATGGACCGCCACCTTCCCATCGCCAAATACTTTGCGCAGATGCTTCACCCTCACCGGGTCGTCAGTGCGGTCTGCGGAGCCCAGAACCTCATTTTGCTCCTTTAGCACATCGGATTCCATGTTCACTTCCTCAAGAGCATCTGGCTCCGCACGGGGTCTGCGGGAAAACCGGCGTAACAGATTTGGATTATCTAGAACGAACACGATTAGGAAAAGCACCACCGTCTCAGAGGCCATGAAAAAGCCAACACCCAGTTTTAACTCTGTACTACTCTTTACAAGTAATTGATCACTATCAAAGATTCTCAATTGAATGAAGCTCTCATATATGCAGTGCGCAGGAAAGATTCGGAAGACCCAGTTCACCATTTTCACAACGAAGCTAGAACCGAATTGGAATACTAAGAACTGTACAAGCACCCCAAGGATGGTTCCTGAGACCAGAAACAGCACCAGCATCATATTCTGTGCGGTGGAATGGTCCTTGAAAAGGAAGCTGAAGACGTAAACCATGGCCACGCTCGACGTACCGTAAAGAAAAAGCAATACCATAAAGGTGCCGTCAACAGGGCGCACGCAATCAGTGAGGGAGAAGAGCTCAAACATCACCACTATCGAGACGGTGGTGAGGAGGTAGGATAGCATGTCAAAGATGAAGTTTGAGAGCCAGTAGACGGAGAAGTACAGCCCGGACACTTTCTGCATGTGCCGAGCTTTACACGACCGCTCCCTCACAATCGTGGGTGCAAAGGTTGACGGTATTAAAAGAATGACAAAAAGGAAAAAAAAATCGTACAAGAAACCATTGCCTGCACACTTCCTATTGGGACCGCTCGCCTCAAATGCTAAGCCCATTAACACCAAAATCAACATAAGGGCGATAGGGATGATGGTCTGAATAACGTATATGCGCCAATACCGCAGGGTACACAAAAGGCGCTTTTTGAGCATTACCTTGAGTTGACTCAGCGCGATGGAGAGTTCGGAATGTAATAGTTTCACACCCCACACACTAGACGAGGCCTCCGCGATGTCCTCCTCCCGGACCACGCGTGGCGCCACCTGCGCCCTCTCCTCCTCCTGCTCCGCTACGGTATCGGGGTGGACCTCCTCCTGTGAAATACGCACAAAAATTTCCTCCAGCGTTGTGGCAGCCACGGTATAGCCTGCAGCCACGCCGAGCATCGCCCCGTGGTCCTCGATGTCAGCCAACAACCGGGGGAACACCCTCCTGGCTGACATCGGCAGTTCAAAGGCCAACTCCCCGGCAACACTCTCGCAGAGCTTGGCCTTCGGCTCATACGAATCGACCAAATCGGCGATTGACTGACAGTCAGCTCCCTGGGACACGGGCACCGTCAGCACGTAACCCACGCCCAGACGCGATTTGAGGAACACGTTGCTGCCCGAGCAACGGAGCCGACCTTCCTTTATGATCGCAATGGAATCACCAAGGATGTCCGCCTCGTCCATGAAATGCGTTGATAGGAGGATAGTGCGCTGCGATGACGCGGATCGTGCGAGGTCCCAGATCTGCCGCCGCGCAAGGGCATCCACACCGGCGGTTGGCTCATCCAGAAGGACAAACCGGGTACCGGCCACAAGAGCAATTAACACGGACAGCTTCCGCTTCTGCCCACCAGAAAGGTGCTCTGCCAGACAGCCTTGCTTGTCCGTCATCTCGATACTCGCAAGCATGTGCTCAATGGTCGTCTCGCGCTCAGCCCCACTCAGGCCCCTTATCGAGGCATAGAATCTTAAGTGCTCCCGGCACGTCAGATTCGGCCACAGGATGTTCTGCTGGGGGCAGTACCCCAGACCCTGGCGCACGCGCGACAGCTGATCGCGTACACTGTGACCATAAACGCGGCAGTCGCCAGCACTTATTTCTGACATACCCGTCAACATGTTCATCAGCGTGGTCTTGCCAGCACCGTTGGGCCCCAAAAGCACAGAAACCTCCCCCTCATGCAATGCCCAATGCAGGTTGTTTACAGCAAGCAGTTTTTTTCCGCCCCATCTAAACACTTTAGTCAACCCAACAATGCGAATCGAATAGGAGCTCACATCCCGCATGGCCTCAAACACCCCATTCGGGTAGCGGCCATCTTCCGGGTTGTCGTTCAGCCCCGTCTGTCTTCCGCTACAGCAGCAAGCGCGGATCGGATCTATTAGAAAGAATAATGGATTCTTTCTCACACCCCACCTCTTTGGGAGAACAGCATCAAAGTACAGCATCAGCAATGCGTAGACAAAAAATTGAAGGAGTAACCACCACATAGATGGGTAGGAGGCATCGCTGGATGAGATATCGTGATATTTTGACGTTGCCTGGTGTTCTAAGAGCATAACAATACCTTCTTCCGCGAGGGCTATCGGTGACAACACCACCCACACCCGTGACCTGAATAAATACAGCAACGGCGTGACAACTAAGTACATCAAAAACGACACCACCGATGCGGGGCGCGCACTATCGAAGAACGCGGCAACGAATCCGAAGCACGTAGTCAATGCCATAGTGAATAGGAAGAAAAGTGCGAAAATAAGGAAAAAGTTAAGCGTGGGCAGGAACGCACACTTGAGAACCACTGCGATAATCAGCGATAAAACACCGCTCTTGACGGCGTAGACAGCGATCCAGGAGATGTACCGTACCCCTTCGGACAGCCCCATGATGGTCATCATCTCGAGCAGTTTTAGCTCCTTCTCCAGCACAATTCGTCTGGTGACCTGCATCGCGAAGAGGAAATAGCCGACGAGTGCGAGTGTCGCGATCAAATATCCGTATTCCCTAACATCCGAAAAGTTTAATGATCCTGAGGACCCATGTATTTGAGGCTCCTGAACCCAAACGTCTTTGACTTGAGATAGCGGGCGATTGTAGATGGGATCTAGCGCCGCTTTAAGCGCGGGGTATGTGTGCGCCTCAGGTGTGCGCAATTCACCAGGGGACAGCGTCGGCCGCGTATTGTAGGCCCGCCTGATAGAACTTGCAAGGCTGTAAGCTCCTGTAGCCGCGCCGGCGGTGACCTCGCCGTGGAGCGGTAAAGCCTGCTGGGTCGCCGCGTGTTGGGGCATATCCAGACTTCGTGGTTCATGCATCAAGTGGACATTATGTCCATAAGAGGAAGAGGAAAATACCGTAGCTGGCAGTAAATACGACCACAGTACAAAAGCCATAACGATGGTTAAGATGGGAAAGAGAAGCTCCAACAGGTTCGATATGGGAGAGCGAATCAACAGAGTCATCATACGCACGATGTTACCATACAAGTGGCAAAGGAAATTGGATTTCCTCCCTTGTCCCCCCTCTGGGCACCCGCTTGCATTGGTATCTCCATGCTGACATACATTGATCTCCACACTCGAATCGGCATTTCCAACTCGATCCTCTTCTGATAATTCCTGCCACCTTCCCGTTCGTAGGTTGTGAGTGGATGACTCACGATACCCCGGCTCCCTGGGTACATGAGCTGTGTGTTGGAATTCATTATTGATGCCATCAGTTCTATACTGTGTCCAGGCGTTAGAAGGCCGGCATTGTCGTATCGCGATTAGGACGGTCCTGCAAGGCCACGGAAGACCGATCCCTTTCGCCACCTGAAGCACATCCGTCTGCAAGTGATGGGATCATAAAAATGCGTCAAATATCTGAAAGTGTAGCTACTTGTATGCAAGATTGGGGTTTCCTTTCTTTCTTTGCATCAACACTAATATGATGCTACCCCAGCTAGCTTGTGTGTGAAAACCCCCGGTGAGTGCCCAGGCTTCCCGTGGCTGCTACACAAATTAGAGCGAGAGGTGTGACGGGAGCCACAATCGAGCAGAAAGGGCTTAGCAGCTCTGCGTGATACTAGGTGCTCAATTCCTTTAGCTTGAGACCTTGCAGGCTGAATGAATTGGATAAAATATGAAAGCACAGTCTCTTTTGGAACTGTCTCAAAAATAGAAAACACGGCCTAACGCCGAAATAAGATATTCAAACAAAATATCACAAGGGAGAAAGAATGGTTTCTCGAAAAGATGTGAAGGGAAAACTAAAAAAAATAGCTGATACTATGTATATGCGGTGAGAAAAACTGTGAAGGCATGGGAGAAGAAAGGAAGGTTTTTACTCTGAGTTGCCCAAACTAGGGAACGCACGCTTGGGATGACCATACGGAGAATGTCTTTTGCCACATGGTGGGTGGGGTGGGACCCCTGCACCTGGCCATTTTCTCATCGCTGTCGTCCCGCACTTGCACTCTCGTCTAGTCTGGAGTACTTTCGTTCCCTCCTCGAGTAGGCCTGAGTGGTAAACAAAGAAAAGAGTGCTATCAAAGTACTACAGACGATTATTGGAAATTATCAGACAAATTAACAGTGAAGAGTAATCGCTGTCGGGAAAGTTCCCAGAGTTCACCCAAAGAAGCCTGCTCGGACCCATGATACACCAGCTATATAGCTTCCTGCACATCTGTTTCCTCCCCCCTCTTATCCTTAACAGGGATCCCTCCCCCTTGAGACGAGGAGGGGTAAAACGTTCCAAGGAGAGGAGACGAAGCCACTGGTGATGGGAGCAGATATATGCTGTGAGCTGCGATTGACCATGACTAAGTGCCCATTTCCCTCTACATCGCCCTGTCGGAGGGGGGGAAGTATTTCCCATTCCTTTTGTATTCGTCCATGACACATATCATTCACATCTCCCGCAGATTGTTTGATCCCTTTCGCATCGGAGACCTTTCCCTCGGTAGGCCCCGATACTCTCCTTCGCCCTGTTACGATTCTTCACACCAGCGATTCTCTTCACGAATCTTTGCCTCCTCTTCGGGCGTGAAATCGTTTTCAATGTTGAACAGCTCTCGAATCTGCTCTGCCGATTTCCCCCGGATCATATTCGCCACAAAGGCACATGTCATGTCCAGCAGATCTTTTACATTCAGGAAGTTCGCAGCCATGATGACATCAACGAGAGCTTCGTGTTGGTGCTCATCTCCGTCTTTAAGCAATTTTTGATGCAAGTAATTATAGTCCCATTCACAAAGAAGATCGTCAATCTTTGTCTTAAGCGGCTTTTCGATAGGCTCTGCACGATTGTTGCAGTGGTAGTCCATGTAGTCCAGTACCAGCCTTAGGGTGCGACCGGAGACGTTGGGGATTGGGATAATCGCATCGGCCCCTTCCTGATCGTCCAGCATATCCTTAAGCAGGCCGGACATCTTAGCCGACTCGCGAGCCACCTTGAATTCAACCGGCGGATGATCGTTGCTTTGAAGAATGCAATACTTGGTAAAATCGATCCCATCATGGGACGTGACTTCCTCTGACATTTGTTTTACCAGACTTTACCGTCGTTTATATTTCCCGCAACGCTATGGAGAGATAGTGGAATGTATATTACACCACCGCCCGTATCGACGCTTTCCCAGTGTTTCTCAAGGGTGTTGTTTCCAACTGCTTTAATGAGAAGCAAACCGATGTATTCGTTGTATTTTTCCTTCGCTTTCTTGAAATGCCACTAGTACAATAGAGTAACAGTAGCGACAATCTCGTTTACTGAAGCCCTGGGCTCTTAATATTTCTCTAATGTTATTCCTGGTGAAGAAGTAGCAATACTAAAGAGAGGAAGATAATAAAGAATCATTCGCTTTTGCCTGCTAGTTTTAAAGAGGAGTGAATTTCCTAGCGCAAAACTGCAGAAAAGTGTAAAAAGCAATGACACAATCAGAGCCTATATGTCGCTCCATTTTACCGTTTCTTTTGCATTATGTGAAGAAATTCACGCTTTTTCTTGGTATTACACGTGGCAAGCAATACACATAAAAGCAAGAACTAATGGTATCATAGGACAGAAGTGGAAAACGAAGAATATTTATCCTTGCGTTAGGCACAACATTATAACCGAAACTCGCAGCGCTTTCTCTTTTTCTGTTGTGTATGGGTGAGAGCGAGAGAGAGAGAGAGAGAGAGGAGGAGCGGGAGGCTGATGCGGGCAGAAACACAACCCCCTGCCTTCGCGCACACGGGGTTCTTCTCGACC